ATACTTTCTTTGCTCAATTAGTCCTGAATTGCAGTATGCCTCAGAACTTGAAAGCAGGGAAGGTGACACCTTAGAGACTCTGCCTGCCTTCAGACTAACATGGCCAGCTACATTCCATTTCTCTCACCTGCTGTCTTTCTTACTGGTAGCTGAACCACTTAGGATGAGTACTCTTGCTTTAGCAGGTTTAGTTGGAAATTAGTGAGAAACAGGGTGCTAACTTTTATCCAGAGTTTAATTTAAATCCTGGAAAAAACAGTTAAGGTCTCAGAAAAATATATGGATTCCTCAACTACTCTTTGCTCTCTATCTTCAGCAATGATTGTTAGGCTCAAGATTTCAGGGGTACTTTTGTGAAATTTGTTCTTTTAGGGTCTGTTCAAGAGCCTGTTGAAGTCCATGGAAAGACTCCAGTTGAATTAATTGGTGTTTTGGATTAACCTTTAAAAACAAAACAACGCCCCCTTCCCAAGTGTTGTTAGAGACATTGCTGCTAAGGTTATACTTCACTGCTTAAAATATTTATTGCATTCTGTCCATTACTTGAACAAGGTACTTCAAGTATTTTCATGCTAATGTGTGCTATATATTTAATGTCTTTTCCCTGGCATGTGATGATAAATACAACTCTCTCTAAAACAATTACATAATTTAATTCAGAAAAGCAAGAGCATGTTAGAGCAGCTGGCTTTTGTCATATAAAACAACGGTAGTTACCTTGACATAATGGGAACACTGAATAATTTGAAATTATTAGAGTTTCAATAAGTAGGGGACTTTTCAGTACAGTTAATAGCTGTCTTTGGATAACAAAGAATTGCAGGATGTACTTTGAGAAAGAACTTTGTAGTCCTGTAATCTTTGAAGAAAAGAATACATAGGTAATAGTACATTTGTAAGTGGTGATACTACAGCTTTGAACTGATTTTCATTGACCCGAGAAAATATTGCATCAGAATGAAGGGGAATATGTATTTACTAGCCAACTGCCCATCAAGAATGCCATCACCCACCGGCCTGCACTGCCACCACTCTGCCTCCTGCCCCATGCATCCCCCCCATCCAGCTCCGTGCACCCCCCATCCCCCTGTCGCTCCACCCTGTAGCGCCACCACCTCCCAGGTGCAGGGGATGGGGGGAAGCTTGCATGTGGAGGCCACAGCTGCCACCCAGCATTACCACCGTGGTGCATCTGTCCATGTGCAACCCCCTCCCCCTCCCTCGCTCCCTCCCTCCCGGCTGTTCTCAGGGGCAGGGGATGGTGGGAAGCTTGCATGTGGAGGCCACAGCTGCCACCCAGCATTACCACCATGGTGCATCTGTCCATGTGCAACCCCCTCCCTCGCTCCCTCCCTCCCAGCTGTTCTCAGGGCCCAGGGGCAGTGGTGGTAGGGTGCCGCCACTGTGCCCCCCACTCCTGTTTCTCTCCCCCACTCCTCCCTTCATCTCCCCCTCCCTGCCAGCTTTTGTTGGGGCCTAGTAGCGAGGCTGGAGCAGGGGGGCGAGGCCAGTGCTGCACCGCCAGCACCCGATGCTGCCATCTTCCAGGTGTGGGGCAGGAGGGAAAGTTTGCCCCTCCATACCTCTTGGCCAGTATCCCATGCCACCACTGCTTCCAGGAAACAGGGCTGGGAGAGGGGTGGGGTGGGGTGAGGCCTGTGCTGCTGGCCTTACCCCCCTGCTCCATCGCTGCCATCCTGGGGGCGTGCTGCCGCCTCCTGTCTGGAATGCTCTTGAAGCACTCTGTTTCATACAACCGATCAGAGTGCAAATAAAGCATTATGGACAGACAGACAGACAAAGGCTTTTATAATATTAGAATGGTTTAAGTGTTAATTGTGCATATGCTTAATTGGATGCATTAGGAGTGTCTCATTGGTGAAAAGGTAACCACATGTAAATCTATGTAGGAAAGCAGCCTTAACTAGGAACACTGGAGATTATCAAGCTACTTAAAGATCAAAGAAACTGCTTTAGACTGGGGATGTTATAGTGGTTGGGACTAGGAGTTGATGGTAATGCTCCAGATTGTCCATAGCTCTAGACCTGGCATGGTGAAGATCCTATGCATACACATTTATTTCACTTAGAGTGGAAATGGGAATGAGCTCCCTCTGTGGTATTATCTATTTCATACCTTCTGTAGAGGGAAAGAAAGTAGAGTATGAGTTGGTTTGGGAAAGAG